AAAAAAAAAAAAAAAAAAATTACTTAAAAAAAAAAAAAATCAGAGGCTGGATACTTGAAAGAAGGACCAGAGTTCAAGTCTTTAGAACCCCATCTGAGGCACTTGGAAGGTGAAGAAAAATTCCCCAGGACAATATGGCTAGACTAGCCATATTGAACTCAACTGAGAGACCTAGCCTCGATGAATAAAGTGGAGAGTGATCAAAGAAGACTCCTGACATCAACCCCAGATCTCTATATGCACACGTTTGTGCTCTGGTACACATGTACCCACAAACGGGAATGTACACATGCACACATACCACACACACGAAAAGGAAAAAAACTCAGTGACAGAAAACTGATGCAGGTAGAATATATAACCAGATGATAATTATTTACATTAAATAAAAGTAACAAAAGTATTATAATAGGGTAATCTTGCCAGAACAATTACAACTGATTCAAAAAACACATTTTAAAAATAAAAATTTGTTTCCTTTAGTTTCAATGATTTTTTAAATTCAGTTTTCAGCTTTTAATTCTTGCTCATAATTTATCTATAAGGCATTTTCTTCACTATCAATATATCATACAGTCAATCATAAAGTTTCATCTGTAAGTTCTGAGCCATGAATTTCAAAGTGGCCCATTTCATCTTTATTGTGCTACTACTTGACATTCCTAAACATAACTGTAATCCATCTTCTGGAGAGAGGAACACAGCAGAGGAGCTGGCTTTTACTTCGACACCCCTGCACAACAGCTATAACAACTGGAATGCATACCTGCTTGTGTGCTGTGGCATCTGTCAAGCGAAACACTTTCAGGGACTGGAATGGTTAGAGCTATGGTAACAAAAGCTCCCATAGTCTTCCCAACAGTTCACAGTGAGGTTGTTACTATTGTGAAATTTTGGAAAACAGGCATCACTACAAAGACCATGTGCCACATTTTGATATTTAACTTCAAATCAAATCTAGGACATAAAAACAGAACTGATATACAAAATAAGCAGAGCTACTTTAAAGGACCTGATTTTCAGCATGGTGGCACACATCAATAATCCCAAAACTTAAGGCCAGTCTGGATTACACAATGAGACCGTGTCTCAAAAACCAAAAAAATTTTAAAAAAAAGACAAAACTCTATCTTTGAGTGAATTCAGACAACAATAAGGTGCATCTTAAACTTACATCAGCATTTTTCTGACATGTACTGCATTCAGCCGACAGGTCACTGGTGTACTTCGTAACAGCAGGCTTCTTTAACTCATAAGAAGACAAGCATGACTGGCTGCAGAAATCGTTGCTGGGAGAGGAATTTTCAAACTGAGTTGTGATCGCATCTGTTGGATTTAAAATGTCTCTAAAAACAAACAGCAAACACGAAATATGTAACTATTCTACCTTCTTCTCTCTGGGAACTAAAATAACATTTACTAGGAGTTAACTATTGCATAACAGAAAAAAAAAAGAACCTTGATGACTCGTTCTTTACTTCTGCGTTAAATGATAATGACAGAGGCAATCACTGTCTCCATTTCCTGATGTGTAAAATGGGGTTTATAGTATTTAATTTGTGCATCTATACAAGGAGAATTATACTTACAAGCACAGATATCCAGCTCTCCGCTGGAGTTAATGAGCCCAGATTCAGTGGCCAACCCACAGACCCAGACCGGACATATGTCCTCTTACTAGCCAGCAGTATTAATAGTAGAATCATAAATGAGATTATAAAAGAAACTTTTTTAACTAAAAATTCCAAGATGAGGGACTGGAAAGATGGCTCAGTAGTTAAGAGCACTGGCTGATCTTGCATAGGACCTGGGTTTGATTCCCAGCACCCACATGGCAGCTAACAACTGTCTATAACTCCAGTTCCAGGGGCTCCAATGCCTTCTTCTGACTTCTGTGGGCACTGCACGACACAGGTACACTTACTCACATGCAGGTAATATACTCATATACATAAAATTAAAATAATAAATAAACTATTTTAAATATATGTATTTTAGCCAGGCATGGTAGCACACACCTTTAATCCCAGCACTCAGGAGGCAGAGGCAGGCGGATCTCTGTGAGTTCGAGGCCAGCCTGGTCTCCATTAGTGAATCCAGGCCAGCTGTAGCTACAGGGAGACCGTATCTCAAAAAGACATACATATATATATATACATATATATATTATTTTTTTTTTAATTTCAAGATGAGCCAGGAGTGGTGGCATATGCCTATAATCCCAGCACCTGGGAGGCAGAGACAAATGGGTCCTGATGAATTCTAGGCCAGCCAGGGCTACACAGTGAGACCAGGTCAAAATAAAACAATATTTCTAAGATGAACTATGAAAGATTAATATAGAAATTAGCATGGTACATAAAGCTTAATTATAAATGACAGGAAGAAAACAAATAACTAAGTAGCTGTGTGAGATTCCTAGAGCCATTTTATAAGAGACGATTATGGTGGTGCACGCCATTAATCCCAGCACTTGCAAGGCAGAGGCAGGCAGATCTATCTGAGTTCAAGGCCAGCCTAGTTTACAAGTGAGTTCCAGGCCAGCTAGGGCTACAGGGAGACCCTGTGTCCTAGTTTGTTCTTCATTGCTGTGACAAAACACTCTGACCAGTACCAACTTGGGGAGGAAAGGGTTTATTTGTCTTACATCTCCCAGGTCGCACGCAGTTCATCAGGGAGCCCAGGGTAGGAACTCAGGGCAGGAACCTGGAGGCAGGAGCTGGAGCACAGGCCATGGAGGAACGCTGCTTAC